TATTTAGGCTATCAAAAGATGACTCGTGCACAATCATATCAACTAAAAATTCAAGTATTTATATATCTATATTCTAAGTGTGTTGTTGTTGGGGCTGTGGTAGCGCTGATCAGTGATCCTTAAGCTGCTGGTTTGAGTCCAGGTTGCATCAGATCATGTGTCAAATAATTGCCAACTCTTTCACAGGAATTTGCTGGCTGTAGTGGCCCCTGCAATAGGGAGCAGCTGAAAGACAAACCATGCAATTGTAAAAGTTTTCTTTTCCTTTTTTATTTTTTATATGTAGTCTGCTCTTAAAGCCACAAATAATTTCTGCAGTAACTCTGCAGGAGTACATTTAGGTCTCCTGAAAATTGACTAGTCTCATCCCTAAAATGTGAACGATCCTTTTTTTACCAGTTGATTTAAAGAAGCCTTTACATAATGGTTCTCCAGTTCACTCAGATTATCCAAAATCAATACGAGTTCACAGATGTGTAACTATGCGTACTGAATTTCAAAGGGCTATTTTCCACAGAAAATGGTTCCAGTGGGGCAACAACATTATTGACAGGGTATAAGTAAGGTGCTGAATGATTCAAAATGTTGCAAAACAAACGCTCCATTTTGTCAAATATTAAACATATTGTATTTATTTCGGCGTGCTGTTTGATACTTTTCTACATCCACTTTATTAAACAATACAACACAGCTGAAGCATTGCTTTTGGTTTTAATGTTTTTGCAAAATCAAAACAAACAGACGACATTTTTACCTGCTGCAAAATGGATTACAAGCTGAGTCAAAGGAAGAGTTATACATCCCATGTTCCTTTTGTAGTAAACATAGCCAACAGGAATGGAGTGAGTGAGGATAATCCTATGGTTTTCACACCGGAATGGCTTTCCTGTCTGTATCACACTTTCTGCTAGCTGTTAGTCCCTTAGAGAGAGGGAGGTAGTCTTGCTGAGAACATTATTTTCATTGACAGACTCAAAGCAGGATACCCCATGCTCATGAGATTGCAACTGTTTATCTGTGCGCTTTAAAGGAGACTTTTTGTTTTAACAATTTCATAATAAGACTAAGTACATTCTGTAACACTGATTGATCGTGTAAGGTTGAAACAGTTTAAAAAACATAAAATAGTTTGATCTATAAATATAAAAGCCATGCAAGGTATAAAAAAATATTTTAAATTCTGCATTTTTACAGCAGAAGTACTGTTGTTGTTTTTTTTTTTTAAACTCCATATTTATTGAAAATACCTGCAGTTACCCATCTTTGACACTAGGGGGACACAGTTCATGGCCAATTTAGGCATTTGTGGGAAAACATCACTTGTTCTGCACTGCAATAGTGTGAATCTTGTGCATTGATTCACATACATAAATATTTTCACATTACACTCTTAACACCCAGCTGTGAGAGCTTTGAAAATGAAAAGTGACATACGTGCCGCTCCTCATTATCATACGAGTATCTTCTGTGAAACTGAGCATGTGAGTGTTTGCTTGTGGGACAGGAAGAAATAGAGATGTGCCAATGTTTCTGTGCAACCAACTGCATGTGTAAACACAGCTATTAGGATGTGAGCATTAATAAGCAGGCGCAGTACATTCCTCACCTATTTTGCAAAGAGGTAAAATGAATTCTGTCTGGCACTGGAGGTCTATTGGGTAGTGTTAATGTGATAGCGGAGATTAGCATTGTAATCCATTTAGCATAGAGCAACTAATCCACTTTATGTATGTTAAAAAGGAATCAGATAATATTGGCTAGCACCAGTGTAACTGCCTTAATGATTTCAGGCTGATGAGAAATAATTTGAAGACATACTGTATTAATAAATGCTGCTTCTGATAATGATTAGTGTCACAACAAAACAATTGATTTTAATTTTGCTTTACGTCAAGCAAATAAGAATCTAGACGTCAGCCATTTTTTCCAAGTTCCAAGCTTTTTTGTTGTATTTTTGCAATAATCCAAATCCTGCAAATTTACAATATTTTATATTAGTGTATTTTAAATGTTGTCTGAATTATTTTTTTACAGCAGTTTAACTAAACTGATTTTCAGGAACTTGTAGGTTAATCCAGTGTGAGTTGAAAATAAAAGTACTTTGCAAATTGAACTTAAATATGTTACATTAGCCAGTGGTTTTGCAAATAAGGCCACCAGTCGGATTAAAATTCAGTCGTACTCCCTTGTGTGTTTACCTCCTGTCCCAGTGTGACTTAACTAGCTTGCATTGCATGCTTGTGGACATGCTCTGCTCTCCCTGGTGGCTCATTTGTTTTGTTGGGGGTCAGATCCATGGATGATATACAGGAGCTTCCCCTTGAAGCCTCCTCTCCCCGGTGACTTTGGATCTGTCCCAACACAATAAACTGTACACTTAGACACAGATATAGACTACCAGCCCTTAAACTCTATTCAACAGTTGACTCTACACTTTGCCAATGCAGAAGAGGTAAAATGATCCTTCTTTTCATTAATTCACATAAATTGGCATGGGTCCTGTGAGCATATGCACCTAAAATGAACTCACCTGATAGGCCAGCTTAGATAACCCCACCTGCTGAATCTGGCCCTGGCTCGCGCAGAACTTTCTTTCTTCTTGGCCTCCTCTTATTTCTATCTCCTATCTGCCTTCTGTTCTGTTCTTTGCAGCTGAACCTGATGCATACAATGACTCCCAGTGGAAGTGTGTCAGGCTTTGATAAAAGAGAACTCAAGGTTCTTTGAGATCAAGGTCACTACATCCTCCAAGCAGGAGGCAGAGCTGGAGTGGAAGAATGGCTGAGAAACAAACAACAATGAAGACGAGGGTGAAATTGGGGTGAAAGACGGTGCCTGTTTAAAAAAAAACGTCATGTTGTGAAACTGGATATCTGAGGGAATAGCAGGGAAGGACAATATCTAAACTTCACCCTGTTTACTTTTGTTTCTTTCTTTGCTGTACAGTAGTTTATTGTTCAAGCAAAGACAAAAGTGCAGGTAGACAATAAAAAGCCAGCAGATGTTTTGACTTTATTGTTGGAAAATTAAGTGACGCTGACATGAACATAAATAACTTGCATGCTTTGAAAAATGCAAAAGCATTATCGATGCATAGTGCACACAAAACATATAGATGCATTTATTTGGAACATTTTGTGTATTCTTGTGAAACCCACAACTCTAGACATCAGACAAAGTCTGATGTCGACCTGAAAAGGACCTGTGATTTACCAGCAGGGGGTTTCTTTTAGCGCAACGCTGGGGAGTGGGGGTGGGGGGGGTGGGTATGTTGTCATAAGCTTATTATAATTAAACAAGAAGTGACTCATCTGTCTGCTCTACCATCTGCTTCTGTCCAATTATCTCCTCTTTGCACAGTTACCTGTGAACATTTAAGTGCTGAGGAGCACAAAGAACTACCAAGAGTCATCATAACTTTAATAAGACTAGCTTTACACCTGTCCACAAGTCCACAAAGACCTGCGTGTGAACCTGTATTCTATTGGGTACTGAAAGTTGTGAGAGTTGGTATGTGTCAGAACTGTGTTTCTGGGAAATTAAAGCCAGACGAACCAGATTTAGTAGAGAACACACTCTCCTTGTGTGCGTGTGTACAGTCCATGCAAGCAGATGTTCTGGCACAACTCGGACCCCTTCCATCACATCACCGAGTGAGCTTAGTGCCAATTTCATGCACTTTCTGCTGAGTAAATTTACCTGAGGATACACAGGCTGCATTGTTTGCCCAGATGCTTTATTACTATAATTACTTTTAAAAAGCTTAAACTATGATAAAGGTGCAGCACTAAAAACCACAATAAACTATGATAAAGGTGCAGCACTAAAAACCACAATATTTAGGATAATCTTTAAGCAGTTTGTTGTTGGACACGCAGTGCAGTACATTTTAAAAAGTATTCCCTAGTGTAGATTTTTATGTTTTGTCTTAGACAGCATCATTTTTGTTTTCTGAAAGAGAAAAACATATTGTTAGTCTTTCTCACTTTCACTTTGCCATAATTCTTTGCAGTAAACTCTGCATTATACTTATGAAACATCAAAATCACTCCCTGGGAAGTCTGTCAAGACCATATAGAGACAAACAAAAAAGATTTCCTTCACACTCTCACTTACACCTAGGGGGCAATATATAGTTACCAATTAATGTAACATGAAGGAATGAATAAATTAAACTAATTTTTTAAGCTTTACTGGGCACCATATTACGACGGAGCTTTAGGGCCACGCTAAGAAAAAATTAAAAGCCATAAAATTTCAAGAATGAAATCGTACAAGACTACTTTTTTTTTTTTTACAGCTCTCCTTTATTTATTTGTTTTTTCCACCAGTCGGATCTACGACACGACCTGTCAATCACTCCAGTAGGCGTGTCAGCAAATGACCAATCTGAAGCTAAATGCTCCTTACCTGCAGAGCTGCGCTGCAGCCCATCAGAGCGTACCACCTTACTGTAAGCAGGTTCAACGTCATGACATTGATAATAATCTGATGCTGATGTACTAACAGATTAACTATCTCCTTATTTGTAAAACCAATACCCAAGTATAATTTAACAAGATGCTCAACATTGTTAAATGGATTGTAGCGCAGAGGTGTTGGCGTTGCAGAGACACAGAAATAATTGAGTCGCTAGGTCTCTTCAGCGTCTTTCTGGCATATTTATTGAAGACCTCTAACAGCGATGCACGCACACAGTTTTGCTCACTGAGCACCGTTTTCAAACAGAAACAAAAACAAAAGTCATGACGTAATGACATCACGTATAAGCATCCCAGAAGCAGCGTACAAAAACACAACAGTAGGTGGCAGTATTGGAACACGTTTTGAGTAAGAGCGCCAATAACCATAAAGTTTAACAAACATTCTTCATTTTACCACAGTTAAAATGTGGTAAACCCTGTTTTTATCATATTGGAGTTCGGATAACATTTCGGCTCATTTAGCTTCGAATTGGTCATTTGCTGACACGTCTACTGGATTGATCGACAAGTCGCGTCATGGATCTAACGCGTGTAAAAAAAAAAATGACAGCTGTACAAAAAAAGTCTTGTATGACTTTATTTTTGTAATATTAAGACTTTATTTGACTTTATTCTCGTAATACTATGACTTAATTCTCGTATTGGTATGGCTTTTAATCTTTTTTCTTAGCGTGACCCTAAAGCTCCATCGTACCAAATGACCTTTGAGTTATTAGCTTTAATGAAATAGTAATTGTTGTTTTCAAAAACTCTTGTATTTTTCAACAACTTCCCCCATGAATGTATTAGATTGATTGTAATTGTCAAGGCTAACAAAGCCTTTATAGACTGTTTTGTAAGATTTTTATTTATCTGATAACGGTGCTGGCAAACAAGTGATATAAATCGATTTTAACGTGCTTCTTTTCTTTTACAGATCCGGGTTGACGCCTCCTCTCGTGCTCTGCAGTATGAAACTGTACAAGCTGTGGAGAGTGGGCCCATCCTGAGAGACATGGCCTTCTCCTCGGACCACCACTACCTCTACGTCATGTCTGAGACTCAGGTCAGCAACACAAGCTCACAAACCTTGAGTTGTCTTCTAACGACCATATTATCACCATAAAACCAACTTTTTCCTATGTCACAAAGAAAAGTAACCTTTGATAAAGGATTTCCTTTCTCTCAGCTGGAGCAAAGATTAAAAAGATAAAGATTAGAGACACCGCTGGATGCTGCTACTGTCTTGTTTTTTTATTATTATACAGAAGCAGACTATGAATGTAGAGCCATAGTGAATAGATTTGTTGAATTATAGCGAGAGAAGAGTGGTTTTGTTCTCTGTGTGCGTGCACTGGTGAGTTTATGTTTATGTACACAATCAGATTGGCACTGTCTCCAGCACCTCTGACAACATGGAATGTGGAGTAAAATAGCAGCACTCTGTGTAATGGACAGAGTCTGAACACCTCCATCTAGACGAGACAGCATCTCTGAAAGTCACACGCATGCACACTCCTGTAAATTACTGTGATGCATTCACTTTCTCCTTTACATTCTGCACAATGACACACAAATACAGGAGCACAGTGTAATATGGACATGTTCAGAAGCTTGTTATTTATGAGGGCAACCGACAGAACAGATGCTGAACCTCTTCATTTTTAGACTCTGACGGATGAAGTGATTATTTCAAGTTGTGATCAGTGGATACTGGTTATTGGAGGTTATTTAAGCAGTTGCATTGTATTTATTTTTCTATTGTTGAATAGTTTAAGTAAATTTGTGTTTATGATTTCTAGTCTTGAACGATGTCCTGATCAGAGGCAGTTAATGGAACGAGTTAAACTATTAATACACCACTATTAAAAAAATCCCTGTCTCTCAATTAAAAGTGCCAGTTCCATAATGTTAAACTTTTTTGCAGTTTAAAATTCAGTGAGATAAGTAATAATTGTTTAATGAAATATTCGTTAAAGTCCTGGTTGTTATTGCTAAGTGTCTGATCCAAGTTTGGTTTATTCAGCTTTTTACTGTTGGACTAAAGAAAAATGTTGTTTCTCCATAAAATGGGTGACAAGTCAGGATCATCTGTTATTTGCCTGTGAAAAAGAAAGTTATTACTATAGTTTTTGTTTTTCTTTTGGCTTATCCCTTCGTCTAGTGCACATTTACTGTATATCAAACAGTTTTGTTTAGATGGTCTTTTGTCCATCCATCCATCCATTTATATATATATATATA